CTTAATTACTGTTGTTTCCCATTGAGATGTCTTGGGATTTCACACTTGCTCATCAACCTTGCCTTCATTGTGTGAGGCTATTTATGATAGCAATAGTCCTCTTTTAAAATTGACTTTCTATATTTAAAACATGATTCATTCTTCATTAGGGTTTATCTTACCTTTTTTTAACAGACTGGCTGGGTTGATAATCTGTGATAATGAACCTTTCCTTTCTAGTTAGTCACAATCTAATTTGAAGAGAAAATAAAGTTAGTTGAAAGTATGGAGCAGGCAGATTGTCACTGGAGACAGCTTGCTCCTCTAGGCGGGTGCATTATTGCCTTCATTATTCCAAAAAACTCAGAGAATTCTACTTAGTTTACACAAAGCAAGCTGTGCTCCAGTGCTTTGTTGCCTTCAGGGTGCTTGTAGTATTTTGCCTGTGGCAAAAAATACCTCGCCCACAACTAGTGTCCTTTGTATGGTTGTACTTGTCTTCATTGGACATTAAGGCCAGAATCCTGTTGCACAAAATGGAGTGGAAGGGAATTCTTTTAAGTGTATCTGTCCCCTGTCATAGAACCAGCTGCATGATCAGTCTGGCAAACTGTGCAAGACTATGCATGCAACAGGGGGCCTCCTGGAGCAGGGAGGATGCTCATACAGTTGTTCTACCACTCTGCTTTTAAGCTATATAATACTGGCCTATGCTTTCCAACAAAACCTACTTCCACTCTTGCCATTCTGAAGTGAGAGGTTGGAGAAAACGTTCCGGCTGGTATCCCACTGGGCTTGAACATGCTGCAGAACAGTCTGTATTATGTACAGTTGCCTCTGTTCTTGCTACTGTCAAACGGAGGAATCCAGCAACCCCATATGCAAGGGGAAATCTGCAAGCCAGAGATGACGGAAGCCAATGTGTCCTTATACTCCACATATCCAATAGGATATTAGCCATTGTGGAGCTGCTGGATTGATTAAAAACCACAAATCACTGCACCAAATTGCAACATATATCTTCTCTCCTTAGGGAGCAACTAGATGAGTATTTGTCCCATTGTTGTACCATGTTTCTCACTGTCCTTTTCAATATTTATTCTGTCAGTTATATAATGTTAGTGCTAATTGCAAGTAGATACTATCTTTTTGCATCATTGTGCATTTTCTTTAGTTCAGCTGGCAGGCTTGTGGGGTTTTTTTTGTTGCTTTCCCTCTGTATTTTCCAGATGAACATATATATATTCTAGTTAGTGCTAGAGCTATAGCGCGAATTTGATACAGCACTAATTCAAATACAGTACTTACCATGTCTTGTGAATTCAATGCTATTCCACTTTCTAAACATTTTTTTAAAAGAAGGGATTTGAATGCTGTCAAAAGAGTTGGGAAGGAGGGTGTTAATGATAGAGAAGGTTGAGGGAGAAGGGATAGTGGACACTTGAAGTGCAGCTTCCCTGAATAATTAAAAATTTCTGTGTGAACCATGACCATGATTTAAATGCCATAGTATGTTAAAGAGAATTTCTCATCAACCCGAGACAAATTTATGTGTATTCATGCTCAGTGTTGATGGGAATGACTGGTCGGAGACTCTGATGTCATCATGAGATGCCCCTTTCCCAACCCCCAGAGCAGTTTGCAAGTTTAAAACATTACTGTTTTGTCAAACAAATTATGATTCAGGAAAATGGATATATAAATTGATGTGTACAGTGAGTTGAACATCTTGTTTTCATCAAAAGCAACTAGGCTTTTGCAAGCATGGCCTTAAAAATTTATAGAACCTCAGGCACTTCTTTGAGTCATCAGTAAAATTGGATTGGCTCTTCTTTTAAATTCAGTAGGCAAGATGGTCTCTCCAAATCTTGTGACTCTATCTGTTTTAGACTAGAACTCTCATCAGCCCCCACCCAGGAATTATAGATGGTGTAAACCAAAACATTTGGAAGACACCAGGCTAGGGAAAGCTGAACTAAAGAGTGGGTGTTTTTGGTTGGTTGGTTGGTTTGGTTTGGGTTTTTGTGGGTTTTGAGGGGGTGGTTTGGTTTGGTTTTGCAAACCTCTTACCTTTGCTTATAGGGAAAGTAAAGTGGCTTGAAGGAGTCAATTTCACTAACTGGGTGCACCTCTCCATTGTATGCTCAGATACTGAAATGGCTTCCAGTATGCTCAGAAGTGTCATTTTGCTGTCCTAACTTGTCTTACATTAGACAGGGGAAGTGGTCAAAACAATGATAGAATTACTAGTTGATAAAACAGAAGGTAGTCCCCAAATGGATGCCTCAGTGGATCACAAGTATAGAAGCTCAGGATATGCAGTTTTGAACCAACCTCTTTTTACAGAATTGCAGGGATGTTGGCAAGTCTTTGGATCTCAGTCCAAGTCCAAGTCTTTGATACCAAATCCGAATCTTTGGGTCCAAGTTCTTCATACCAAATCCCAGGCCCCAAGTCCGACTCCCTATTAAAATCAAGCTTCCCAAACCCCCCCAGAAAAAAGGGAGGTGTGGGTGCATTCTGAGTCACAAGTTGAGTCCAAGTACAGTGGAGCCTCAACTTACAAACATCCCTACTTACAAAAATTTCGAGTTGCGAAAAGCTCTGGCCGCAAAATTTTGGTTTGACTTGCGGCCAGAGCTTCGACTTACGAAAGGAACGGATTAAATGGTTTTCAGTGCATTCCTATGGGAAATGGTGCTTCAACTTACGAAATGTTCGAGTTGCAGCCACCATTCAATATGGATTAATTTCATAAGTCAAGGCACCACTGTAATTGAAAAAAAAAACAAGTCAATTCCAAGTTGAGTTGTCGGTCTGACTTTAGTTGGACTTGACAGCAAGTTCCACCTCGAGTCCCCATCCCTACAGAATTGTCTTGTTTCTCTATTCTAAGATAACATTTCTGGCATGATTCTAACATCAAGAAATAAGCTTGCACCAAACTCTAGCTAGTAAAACACTTGTTCAGTAGGTCTTGTCCTTTTCTACCACCCTGACATAAAACTATGTCACCACCGTAAGGGGTCTTGGCAACCCAAGAATAAGCAGGCAGCAAGAACAAAGAGGTGGACCTGCCAGCCATCCCACAGCTAAGGGAGCAAGTGAGTGGCCGGGAGGGCTGCTATAGCAAGGTGAGCCTGGTGGCTTCAAAAGTCAAGGCAAAAAAGAGACAGGAGCAACAGGCCCTATCATAATGGGTGGATGACTAGTCCACATAGGCGAAATGAAATGAATGAATGAATGAATGAATGAATGAATGATGCAGTTTGCCGCTCTTGGTGTCCTGCCACCTTAGTTAGCTGCTTGACTTTGACTAATGATAGGCCTGCACCTGTAGATATTTGCATTGATTGTTCACACTGCAAAACCCAGGAGAAGCCATACACCACACCTGAGATCTCTCTTTTTTATGTTATGTCTTAGTTGATACATATCAATGAATGAATGAATGAATGAATGATGCAGTTTGCCGCTCTTGGTGTCCTGCCACCTTAGTTAGCTGCTTGACTTTGACTAATGATAGGCCTGCACCTGTAGATATTTGCATTGATTGTTCACACTGCAAAACCCAGGAGAAGCCATACACCACACCTGAGATCTCTCTTTTTTATGTTATGTCTTAGTTGATACATATCAAGGATGATTCTGTTCTAATTATGGTGTATTTTCCAGATGAAAGATCTATATAAGTAATAAGATTCTGTATAAAGTAGCACACTGATTGTTATTTGTGTCATAATCAATATTAACAACAGTCTTTATTTTCAAGGTGATAATCCAGATTATCCCCACTTGTTGCATGGAACATAATCACAGTAACAGAACATAAGGCAATATATAAACAAAACAAAACACATATCTGATGTTATTCATTTTCTAACAAAGTTTCCTAATGGAACTCTATTGCTTTTCAAATTACACTTTTCTGCATGTGTGTGTGTGTGCTTCCGTCGGTGCTAAAGCATAGTCCTCAACCTTTTAAACACCAGGGATCAGTTTCGTTGAAGACCATTCCCCCAAGGGCTGGGTGGATGGTGGGCGGGGGTGCATGTGTGCGGGGGACAATGTGTGCATACATCTGTGCATGGGTGTATGGGGGCCAGGGGCATCTGTGGGGGGCCGGGCAGGGGTGTGTGTGTGTGCAGGGGCGGGAGTGTGCAGGTGTACACAAATGTTCCTTCAGCCCTCTAAGATCTGTCTCGGCGGCCCAGTCTTTCAAAGGCCATGGACCGGGACTGGTCTGCGGCCCAGGGATTGGGGAATGTGGCATCCGCCCAGGTTATGAATATTAATGTGCTATCTGCATGGACCAAGGAGAGCGCTGGAGTCAGGGGATTAAAGAGTCTCTGCAGGGGGAGGAGAGAATTAGATTGGAGATTAGAGATTTGGAGATTAGAGGGTTGACGGTTGAGTGTGTATGAAGTAGAATGTTTTGTTAAGAGTTAACAACACTGCTTATACCTTCATCACCTGTAATAATAAACAATTTCTATTTGGTTCTTTTTAAAATGACACATTGCCTGGACCTCTGTGATTAATAATAAACAATGTTGATATAATCAACTGGTGGCAGCGACATGAGACGTAACTTGTGCTCTGTGATTGGTGAAACAATCAAGGGACAGAAGGGAACGTGACAGGGACCCCTGTCCTAAAGGAACACTGTCAGTCTTAAAGGAAGCCAATGCAACTAAAATGATCAACTGCACTTAAAAATGTGAAATTAGTGATTTTATCTCAGATATATGTGTTTGTGTGTACAGACTATACATTTTTTTCTGTGAGTTTGTGTGTTACTGAAATATTTTCAGATAAGATTGCATTTAGATTACTGTAATTGACAGTATGATAACACAAATTTCCTTATTTTTAAAAATGCTGAACCAATTTAGAATTTTATGAAAGTGCAGCTATCTGTTTCACTAATGTTTTAGGTATACAATTATTGTGTGTGTTCCTATTCTCATTAACTGTCTTCTAACTGTTGTTTTTGTTCATCTCTGTATCTAATACTTTAGGCACGGAGGAAGGAGGTTTTCATCCAGGAACGGTATGGGAGATTTAATCTTAGTGACCCATTTCTGGCTTTGCAACGAGACTATGAAGCAGGTGCTGGTGATAAAGACAAGAAATCCATCTGTACCAACCCGCTCTCCATTTTAGAAGCTGTTATGGCTCACTGCAGAAAAATGCAGGAGAGGATGGCAGCTCAGTTGATTGCAGCAGAAAACAGGCAAAAAAAGGTACCATCTGTAATTTTTCCCCTGTTTTTCCTTTCTGCCTTCTAATTGATCAATCCTTATTCTAAACAAATTAATGCCTTCCACTTGTATAATTTTTACAGGGTTTTTTGTGTGTGGTTCTAAAGCACTTGAGATTTTTTTTTTGTCATTGGCAGTGAACTGCTGATTGATAGTTTGCAGCCTTTTACAATGAAGTGTTTATTTTATTTACAGAATTGTAATATTCATGACAATAATGACAAAAAATATTTGTAATAATAAGAACATAGAGTTGCCCCATTGGTGCCACACGTGTAAGGTCCTGAGTGCTTTACATACACAGTTTCTCTTTTTTGTTGTTGATTTTCTCAAATCCTCACAACAGTTGAATTAAATAGATCAGTATTTGAGATGGGGGTATTTGTATTCATATATGAATATATATGAATACAAATATCCCTGCACAGCTGTAGCTTATGAGGATCCAGCCCCTGGGGCCGGGACCATCCACTCATGCATCCTGTGGCGGCAGGGGCCCCTCTCTTCCTTCCAATTGCTCCGGAGCGTCACTTGGCTAGCCACTCGGCAGCCTTGCAGGGATACTCATCCTCCCTCCCTCTGCCAGGAGTGGCTAGACGACCAGGAAGAGAATGGCGCTCAGGAGCGATTGGAAGGAGGAGCATGGGGCCAGTGGCAGCCGCAGACGTGTGAGTGGACCCTCGTTAACTCCAGCTGTGTGGGGATGTTTGTATTCAAATACGAATGCCCCCATCTCTAACCAGTATCTTTCTCACCACATTGCAGAAGTGGGAATGAGACTGAGAGGAAAAGAATGACTTGCCTTCTTGTGCTGCAGGTAAAATTTGAACTTGGCACTCCCTATTTTTATAGCTGTTTCTGAGATACAGAACTGAGAGTTATTGGGGGTTTTTTACCACAGTAAATGTTAACAAAATTTGAATACATTTTTGAAGTATTTGTATCAGCTACACCTGTTTTAAATTGTATGCATTAAGTATGTTTATGTGCTTTTTCAAATGTTTGCATTTTTTGATGCATATATTTGTTTTTGCTTGCATTGTGTGGACATCAAGACTACAAATAACATTCAGGTCTGTGTTTTGTTCTGGCAGGTAGATAAATTGGATAAATTTGGACTAAAACAAGCTGAAACAAATGTCTGAGCTGTCTAGGCCTCAGCCTCTGAAGGTGCCATGTTCTTCTAGGTCAGAATTGTAAAGAGGTAGGCAGGATTATTGGAGCACAGGAATAACTTCCAGCAGCACATAGCAAAATATCTCATTCAGTGATAGCATGTTACTTCTACAACATGATTTTATCTGCAGAAAGATCACAAGAGGCTTTGGGGTCATGTGTTTCCTACCCAGAAAACTGACTTCACAAATTGGGGAGTTTCTATTCAGATTTTGATCTTTTTATGATGTGGGTTTAACAAAGAGAAGAGAGGGATAACTTGTAATCCAAGTGCAGTCCTGATCTCTACTGGATACAGGCCTCCAGCGTCTGAAGAAATGAAAAACTTACTTTGAGCCCAGAGTGCTTGCAAAGACACCCTTGATAGGGTAGCAGTTTTAATGCATTATTTTGATTAATCAATTTAAAATGTTTAATTGCCTAGAAAGATGTCATTTTATTTGAGTACTACTAGATTCCAAGATACAGCATACTTTTACCAGAGCAGCTGAAGAAGATGGAAACCAGAACGTTTTGCTTAAATATTTCTACAGTATTTGTAAATCACATTGGGGTGTGTGTATGTCTCTGTGTGTGTATCAGTGTGATATATATGTGATTACTTGCAACCCTCAAATGGATCCAGAAAAGCATTGACTGAAGTGCTGTTTAGTTCTAATTTTCCGTTTATGCACTTTTAGTACAAGCATAGATGGTTATTTTAAATAAGACATTTTCTCTCCCCTCACATATAAGAGGAACACCTCATCTAAAATTTTATCTGCTGCAGCAGAGATGTGCATCAGCTTAATCTGGGATGAGTGATGTACAACCCGTAGGTTGTGCAGAACCCCAAGGTCCTTTTGCTACCCCATAGCCCCTCCCAGCTGTGCTGCAAAAAGCTATTTTAAAACAGGCAAGGAATATGTGTTGTGAATGGTCTTAGCAGCTCACCAGCTAAATTCATGAGTAAGCTGGGAAACGAAAACAAACATTTCCTGATTGTCTTCTCAGCTTTTTGCAGTTTGCTGAAGGAATTCAGCATGAAGGTAGCGGTGGATGCAGCCGACAGCAGGGGACGGGAGGCTGAATCTGTATCTTCTACAGTTGTCCACCCCAATCTAATTCAAAGAAAGCATGCTCATGCTGTAGAAATAGTGCTTTTATCTTTGTACAGAATTTTGCACATTTGATTGATAAATTGACTAAACTCCATATGCTTAAACAAATAAAATGTCTCCAGTTGGGTCGCAGCCCTACTTACATCTCAGGAACAGCATTTGGATGCTCAGATGTCAGCATAGTAGCCACTCTCTAGTCGTGGGTGAGAGCATATCTTTATGAGAAGCTAAGAACTAACAATAGCACAGTGTATACAATATAACCACTGATCGTGGGCAACTCCATGTAATTAAATCAGTTGCATGACACCTGACACCAAACTTTCTTTGGATTTTATTTACATACTTTGCATTTTGCCAAGTAATTAAAGATAAACATGCCTCTTGCGGTGATCCGTGTTGCTTGCAGACAGCTGTGTTGCAATACTACAAGGAAGGCGAAGCAACGAGTGGGTTCACTTTTGAACAACAATCTTCTAACGAGTTTTTTGAATCAGAATGAGGGAGAACAAATGAGTTTAACTAGTTTTCAGTCAGAAGGAGGGGGGGAGGGGGAGGGAAAGAGCATGTAGTTTTTATTTAATTTTGCAAATAGTGAAGATAGGAATGCTGAGTCTTCGTCACCTTAATGGAAGGCCATGTAGGGGATAATAGGTTAATATTAGAACAGGATTGGGTTCAGATAGGATGCCTGGACCGAATAGGATGGGGAAGTGAGATGTTGTGGTAGGCAAGATTAAGTCCAGGCTCCTCGCATCACTGTCCCTCACCATGGGTTATGCTAGCCATCCCCCATGGTTGTTCTAGTTTAGAGCATCCGTGAAAGGATTTTGTTTGGGGAAAAGTTGCACTTGATGGGCATGGAAATTGACAACCAGGACTGAAGAATAGAAAGGAAGAAGCACAGTGAAAGGTTGGAACATGCAGATTGAAAGGTAAGTAATTAGTCAGATTAGCTGAAGAGTAAGGCAGAAGCCCCTTCGCAGATTGCTGCCTTGTCGTGGCAAAGGGGCTTGAGTAATTCAGAGAAGCTATGGGCTAAGCTATGGGATACCGAAGACAGACAAGTCATAGTGGAGAATTCTGACTAAACGCAATGCACCTGGACCAGGAACTAGGAAGCCACTCCAGTATCTCTGCCAAGAAAACCCCATGAACAGAAATAAAAGGCTAAAAGATATGACGCTGGAAGATGAGCCTCTCAGGTCGGAAGGCATCCAACATGCTACTGAGGAAGAGCGGAGGACAAGTAGCTCCAGAGCTAATGAAGTGGCTGGGCCAAAGCTGAAAGGACGCTCAGCTGCGGACACGCCTGGAAGTGAAAGGAAAGTTCAATGCTGCAAAGAAAAATACTGCATAGGAACCTGGAATCTAAGATGTATGAACCTTGGAAGCTGGATGTAGTCAAACAAGAGATGGCAAAAATAAACATTGACACCCTAGGCGTCGGTGAACTAAAATGGACAGGAATGGGTGAATTCAATTCAGACAATTATCATATCTACTATTGTGGACAAGAATCCCGTAGAAGAAATGGAGTAGCCCTCATAGTCAACAAAAGAGTGGGAAGAGCTGTACTGTGATACAATCTCAAAAATGATGGAATGATTTCAATAAGAAACCAAGGCAGACCTTTCAACATCACCATAATCCAAGTTAATGCACCAACCACCGATGCTGAAGAGGATGAAATTGACTAGTTCTATGAAGCCCTATAACACCTTCTAGAACTGACACCAAAGAAAGATGTTTTTGTCATTATAGGGGATTGGAATGCTAAAGTAGGGAATCAAGAGATAAAAGAAACAACAGGTAGGTTTGGCCTTGGAGTTCAAAATGAAGCAGGGCAAAGGCTAATAGA